GCATTGAAGTTAATTTACAGAAGTGTCAAAAAATTTATCCAAACCCGTGCGTTGCACGGGTTAAAATACTAGTAGTTTTAAATAATTGAATATTATAAAAATTTGATATATCAAAACTATATTTTAAAATGAACCAAATTTTACTAAATTTACATAATAACTAAATATACATTTTTTTCAAAATTTATGGTCAAAGTGTAACACAATTTGACCAATCAAATTGTGATAATCTTTTTGGGATAGAGGGAGTATGATTTAAAGGGGTCATAGTCTAAGAAGGTACCATGAAAACCACCCTAAAAATGATGATATACAACTTGCAATTAAACAAAGACATACTAAACAAAATCAATATCGGGAAATATTCACTTGCATAGATCATCCTTAGGTTTAACAGTAACACTGAAATTCAATGCCCAATTACCTGATGGCCATTAGTGCCAGCTATAATTTTGCGATGATCATTTGCAGATGTAAACCAAGCGGGTTTAAAGACACCAATACTGTTTGTAGGAGGCTACAAGAAGTGAATGTATCAGGTGAAATGTGAGCCAAAGGGCTTAATCGGTCGAATTGTCCATAGCCAGAATAGCATTGGTAAAGGAAATGAATAAACTTACAGATTTAGCAGCCCAGACTTTGCCACCTTTTTCAAGATCCCACACATTGATTTCAACTCCCTTCCTGAATTTTTAAGGCAAATCCAGCTACCATAAAATAGCTGAAATGATAAAACCAGACTTATTTTCTAATTCAAAATGGTAACATTTCCTTACCCCCCGAATAAAGCATAACTTTCACTGCTGTCAACTTTGGAGCACAGAGTGTTACCCAAAGCACATGCTTCCCATGTGGTGAGAGGGGCGTTTGAGGTTGAATCTCCAAGTGACTCAGGCATTTCAACAGTCCTTATGCTTGCATGCCCTTTCATTGTGCATGTGAACAAGGTACATGACCTAATATGAAAAAGAATACTATTTAGAATGACAAATTCCAAACGAATCTGAGAGAAACATATCCATGAGCACATGAAACAAATTACAAAGTGAGCACCTCAATGATGACTCCAACCTCTGTTTTTGGAATAGATGTAATGCCACAATGGCATCATCATCACTTGCACTGCTGCTCTTGCTAGAGCTCGGAATTGAAAAGCGAACATCACCATTGATAGAGCTGAGCACCTCAATCTATCAATATAGATACATTAAAATGGCTATAGCAAATGACCATCCACAATAGTACTATAAAACTGCAATCCCACTTTTATTTATTAAATAGAGCACTACATTTCACAAATTCCCCTTCTCATCTGGCATTTATTTTGATAATTGTAATTAATCATACAAGCCACAATGACCAATAATTATAATTGGGGAAGAAAATTACCATGCCATTTTTTCTTGCAATGCCAAGAAGCTGAAACAAGTGAAAATACAACGAAGAAAACATAAGCTCAATTCCATATAAGAAAAGAAAAAAACACAGAAAATAAATATAAATCGAATATCAATAATGATTATTGATTAGCACAGTACAACATACAGGGTCACATTCGCGGTCAATGATGGAAGTGGCAAGAACGCGTCTTGAAGGATCCGGGTCGCCCCACCGCGCCACTACGGCCGGAGCTTCCTCTTTCTTGCCACCGCGAGCTTGAACCACTGTACAAAACTGCAGCTATGTAAGTGATGGGGGGGATATGTGGTTTTCCAGTAACGTTAATTGTGAACATTTGAGAGACAGGAATTGCAATTTTGATTGAAGAAAACCTTTGATGAGGCCGAGAACATCAGAGGTTAAGGCTCGGAGGCGAGGGCAGCGTGGGCTTTCGTAGGTAATTGTGTGCGGCATTGTTGCTTCTTCCTCAGCATGCGAAAGGCAATGACTTGATTTGTGTACCTAGTTTTATTACACACAAAACACTGATGTTCATTATCTTTATTTGGTTCCATTATTTGTCAATCCGCAGTGAGCTCAAAAACTTCAACCAAGTATCGTATGCCCTTTTATGGCCCAGTTGGTTCACAGACTAATACTGGGTGGGTGCAGTCTGTGAAAGTTTCAGGGCCCTGTGCATAACAAAGATTGTGGCCCCATTATACATTGTAGGCTTACAATAACAATTCACAGGCTTTATCCCTACTTGAATGTAGAGAGATTGTTTCTTAGAGACCCTAGCTCGAGTAACCCATAATGCACATATCACCCAACAAAAATTGAATCAATTTCATATCAATTATTTAATTTATTACAATGAACATGTGAAGTAAAAAACCTAAGTAAAAGTTTATTTAAAAAGAGACTCTATTTAGATTTTTTTTAAGAAATTCTATTTACATATTTATATGCAAAACCATAGCTTGAATAATTAATTTCTATTTGTATTGATAAGTTTCATAAAAGGAACCAATCTACTTCCATAAACTGTATCTAGAGTAAAAAAGCGACTCATGCATCTAAAATAAATTTCATAGAATTAAAAAATTACATTTCATTCCATGAAATTCAATAAATTAAAAAGAGTATTACTTTTGCTAAATAATTTAATAAATTTTGACAATTTTTATTTATTAAAAAATATAATTACTTAACAAAATACTAAACATCGTAAATTTTCCCCCAAAAAAAACATCATGAATCATGAGCTATCTTTTGCAATTACATCTAAAATTCAAAAACTAAACACTATCCCACTCAAGAAAATTTCACAAAAACATCATGATTCATGGAGTATAGCCTCCTCAAGTACATCACAATTCAAAAACCAAACATTATCAATCTCAAGAATCAAGATTGTCAATAATCTAGCTACTAAGAATTGATGAAAGAATGAATTAGGGTTCATTAACGAACCAAAACATCTCATACCGTAATGATCCTTCGCCTGAGTCTAGCCGGGCGTCACTACCCTGCCTATGCTTTGTGCGTCTAGTTTCAAATATTTGGGGCGTCCATTTCTATTGGGCCGGTGCAGTAGCTCATGCTGCACCTGCTATGGGCTAATCCTGGACTTAAATCATCTTGTACTAGGATGAGGATATTGAGAGCTAAAATAAGATAGGTATTTTGGGCTATGAAGACTTTTTTGTACTTGTTTTGTGTTGTGTCTTTTATGCTTGGTGCACTATCTGTTTTGTAGTACCCTAGTATTTTTTTTCTTCGTAAACCTTGATTTGTTCTTTGTCTGTGTATTTTGTATTTTATTTGTACTTTTTATTCTTTAGATATTTTTTTTCGTGTAAAAGAATATGATTTTTTTTAAAGAAAAGACTAAGATTAAGTAAGTTAAAGTTTCAATATAGAAAAAAATCTAAAAATAGTGAAATATAACAAAGGTAAGACTAATAAATCATTGATTTACCATTTCAATTGTAACGATCCGATTCAGTATTTTCCGTTCTCATTTTTTAGAACATAGTCATGTTTTCTTTAACGTATTCTTAATACTTAATACTTATTCTTATTGAAATTATATCAGATTAGACCATATCAGATTAGAAATAGTTTTAAATATAATTACATTGAGACCATACCAAATTAGATCAGATTAGAACTTATTCCAATCAGATTGGAACCATTCAGATCAAGTGAAGAGAACCTAACTTATGTCTCTTATCATTTTTAACAACGAAATGGTTTGGTTTGAAATACTTTATTAGAATTTGGAACAATCTGAAAACTCATGTTTTTAGTTTGACCATGTCGGTTTGATTTGAAAAAATGCCGGGTCGGTTTTTTTGCTCACCCTAACAAATTTTGGGTGGGTCTGTCTTTATCCAAAACTAAAGATAAAGTATAAGGTAAGTTGGCAGTTTGGATAGATCATTTTTTCGAAAAACATTGTATGCCATTGGTTATTAGGTCCAACTTGATATGGTTCAAGTTTTTTTAATACTGATTTCAATGGTGTAAATTAGTTATCTGGACAACAAATTAAAGCTTTAGACCGGGTCTAAGGCGATGGCGTAAGTCCATGAACTATCTAACACACTGAACGCGGAAACAACATCTTTAACGGTGATGTATAATTATTCTAACTTTACTTAAATTTGTGAGTTCTGGATCACTGTTAAGTCACTAACGACGAGCTAATTGAAACTGTCTGTTTTAGCAACAAAATAAAAATTGGGATTATTTTTGATTAATTTTTGTTTTTTAACTTTTAAAAATTTTCATTTACATTTTTTAAAATTACTTTCTACCTCTATCATTTCTTTTTCTTTTTTTAAATTGGTCTTACTTTAGAAGATATAAAAATAATAGAGATAAAAAAATAATGAAAACGAGAAAAATAATTAAAAGGACACAAAATTGATAAAATTAATAAGGTAATCAATAGAAACTTGCTTGGAATTGGTAAGAAATAAAATAAAAATATACAAACTGGTGGGTTTAATATTTTAAGCACTATACAAAGCATTAATGTACCACTTCTTCTTAGTTTTTAGGAAAAATTATATGGAAGAATTCCAAGTTTAGCGGCTTGTTCTTACAAAGAATAAGAACAGAAGTACTACATTAATAATTTGTGTAGTGCGTAAAATGCCAAAATCAAATACATATTTTTTCTTAGCAGTTTCAGTTCAATTTCTATTAATTATTTTATTTATTTGATTAATTTTGTATGCGTTTAATTATTTTTCTCATTTTTGTTATTTTTAAAATCTATTTTTTATTTTTCAAAGGTTAGAATAATATTTAGAAAGAGAAATAGAGGTAGAAAGTTATTTTAAAAGTTAAAGTGAAAATTTCAAAAAAAAATAAAATCACAAAAAATAATCTCAACTTTTATTTTGTTGCGTAAAACAAGTATTTTCGTTAACTCATCATTAACAACTTAACGGTGACCCAAAATTCACAAATTTTTAAAAAAGTTGAAATTATTATGCAACATAATAAGACGAAAGATTATTTTAAAAAAACTAGAGGCGGGCTAATAAAAAAAAATTAAGAGGTCAACGTGTCATCTTGAACTTCTTTACAAATTCTGCGTACGGAGCCATAACAATTCCGACCGTTGCAAATATAAATAAAAAAATAAAAAAAATAGTACCCCTAAAAAGAGTAAAATATAAACCGCTCCATCTCTCCCAAGTTCAAATCGCTGGAAAGATTCACGCCATTGAAAAATCGCCCTTCCATTCTTCTCTATTCCTTCTCTCGTTCCTCAACAAAACACAAATCCTTGATTTTAATGGCGATCGCAGCTGAGACTCAACCTGAAGATCAACACAAGGTAATCTTCTTCTTCTTCTTCGTTCCTTTCTCTCAGGAAATGTTTGATTTTAAGCCTTGATTTTAATGTACGTTCATGTAATTTTAGGGATTTAGAGGAGTTTCAGGAATTCACATACGCGCTTTTTTTGCGGAGTTAGGGTTTATTGTGTCGATTTGTCTGTAATTACTGAACTGTCTGAACTTGATTGTTGATGTACTTGCATTTCTAAGAGGGAATTGTTGTTAAGTTGCCCCAGAGTATGGAATTATTGTCAACTCTTTTTTGATTATTGATGGAATTAGACAATTCAATTAGTTGCGCATTCATGGTTGGCACTACTGTTTGGCATTTTTTTTGAATGAATTTTACAGAGATTGGCCTCACCAGTAAGGATTCTATGAAATCGTGGGAAACAGTCTCTGAAAAATTTACCTTTTTGGCCAACTAATGGCACAAGCTTTGAGTTAAGTTTATAATTGTGACTTGGTTTCATAAATCATAATATGCTCATGTATTAATTAATATGTCCACAGGCTCCACAGGAAGGCGCGGGTGAGGAGAAAAAGAGGTGGACTCTGAATGATTTTGACATTGGAAAGCCCCTTGGGAGAGGAAAGTTTGGTCACGTCTATTTAGCTAGGGAGAAGAGGGTAAAGTTACATTTCTTTTCCAACATGTGGAATATAATATACAGTATTGCCTTGATCATATTTTAGATTTAAGGCCAGAGACCTTTTTCTGATTTTTTTTGCTATCTGCGAAACTTAAAGTGAATTTAATCTTGAATGCCGTGAATATTTTGCCCTTCATATCGTTGGACAGTTACTTGAAATATTTTTATAAAGTTTTATGGCTACTTTGATATGTGTTGGCATTCTTCTGAGGTCTCATTGCCTTTTTCTGGTAAATTGTAACTGGAAGTGAATATGAACATGAGAGGTCATGAATTCTCTGATCATTATATAGTTTGTTTTAAATCCTCTCGTATGTAGAAGCTCATCACTCAGTATCTATGGCTACTATGAAATGGAATGTCATTCTTAAGAGGTTTTCTACATATATGTGACATTGAGTGAATTTGTTTTTTTCTTTACTTTGAAAGTTTATGTCATGAATTCTTTGATTGTCTTAGAGTTTGGTTAAAAAACATCTGATATATATAGAAGAAACCCAATTAGCAGCTATCATCATAACAATGCATTGTTTTGTTAATGCAGAGCAATCATATTGTGGCACTAAAAGTTCTGTTCAAGACCCAGCTAAAACAATCCCAGGTTGAGCATCAACTTCGCCGTGAAGTTGAGATTCAAAGCCACCTCAGGCATTCAAATATACTGAGACTTTATGGCTACTTTTATGATCAGGTAATCTATGCTTTTCATTTCATGGCAAGCAGTACTTTGGTTTATTCATTCAATCTGTGAAGCAAAGAAAAATTATGGTTGGACATATGCATTTACTTTCATTTGCAGAAAAGGGTGTATTTGATATTGGAATATGCAGCAAAAGGTGAACTCTACAAGGAATTGCAGAAATGCAAATATTTTAGTGAAAGGCGTGCTGCTACCGTGAGTATTACTGTTGTTGTTGTTATACGTTTTACAGAGTATTTAAAACGTCTAGACTTATTTATGATGACATGCTCATATTTTTCTTAATACATGTGATAGTATGTTGCATCATTAGCTCGAGCTCTCATATACTGCCATGGAAAACATGTTATACACAGAGATATCAAACCAGAGAATCTTTTGGTTGGTGCTCAGGTCAGCTACATGTATTTCCTATTTTCCATGTTGTTCTTTCTAAATAATTACAGGAAATTGATTCAACCATTTTCTATGTCAGGGTGAACTTAAAATTGCTGATTTTGGTTGGTCTGTGCACACATTCAATCGCAGACGGACTATGTGTGGAACTCTTGACTACTTGCCTCCTGAGATGGGTAATTTTGCTACCTCTTCAATAATACAGCTTGTTATGTAGAAACTTGAACAACTGATGCTATAATAAAAGTTAAGAACTGCCAATTTGTCATTTGTCTCAATAACAAAATTAGGCTTTGGGGTTAGCATCAAACTCATGTCATTTAAATTTACAGTGGAGAGTGTTGAGCATGATGCAAATGTTGACATATGGAGCCTTGGTGTCCTCTGCTATGAGTTCCTCTATGGAGTGCCTCCCTTTGAAGCAAAGGAACACTCAGACACTTACAGAAGGTAAATAAATGGGAAAAACATATACTCCTAGAGAAAAAAACTGATTTCTGTTAATGTGAATGAGTAAAGAAAAGTAATTCTATTCTAGTGCACCCAAATTTAAGATAACAATCTAATGATCCTTTAACTGCAACAACTTCAAAAAATTACAGTATCACTGTTCCCTGGCTCACAAGCCTCACATTGTTTATTTTTGTGATGGATTGCACAGAATAGTTCAAGTTGATCTGAAATTCCCTCCCAAGCCCATTGTCTCCTCAGCTGCAAAGGACTTGATTAGTCAGGTTAGATTTCTTTATCGCGACTACCATTACAATGCTACCAGTTGTGTATTACTTCATTCCCACTACTACAAAAGACCTATTCAATTGATTGTTAGATTTGTTTTTTTCGGTGTCGAATATTTGATGGATGGGCAGATGCTGGTAAAGGACGGTTCACAGCGTTTGCCATTGATCAAGGTGCTTGAGCATCCGTGGATCATCCAAAATGCCGATCCGTCCGGAGTGTTTAAGGGTTGATTGATTCATTTCCCCTCCCTTTGTCATCTTTGGGTCATCCAAAATGCTGATCCATGTGGTATTCTTATTAAGGTTCGATTGATCATCGTCTTTTCATGGCTGCCAAGTTATTCATTTGGTTTCTGGTGTAAACATATTTGTCCATTGGTGATTTTCAATGTGGATTTGAGTGTAGCAAGTTACCATCATATATAGTTGTCATTCTTTATTGCATGTTGTATAAAACTAAATGTGTGTTTTTTTAATCATCACTCTGGTGTCACGTTTAAGCAGTTATTGTTTTCTATCAACAAACAAAATAGAAATAATTCGGATTGAAATTGAACCAGGTAAAGTGAGAAACTAAGCTGTACTCCGTAATAGTTTGATATAATTCGGTGCATATAGTGTAAAACAAAACTAAACCAACCAAGATTTTCATATAATTGGGAGCATATATCCTCACTTTGGTTGTGTTTGGTTGAGAGCTTCAAAAGAAAATGACATTCGAGAAAAATTATAAATAATTTCCAAAGAAAATTATTTTTGAATCATATTTTCCGTTGTTGGGTAGGAATGAAAATATTTTCTTAAAAAATCATTTATTTTATTATTAATTAAAACTAAAATTATAAATTTGTCAACTCGAGATTTTAAGTTCTATAGCGCATGAAAAGAAATTGAATTCAGCTATTTGGAATCTGCGAGTCAAATTGAAATAAAGTTTTTCCTTTTCGGGACATAATAATAAAACATGTCTTGTAGATTTTGGGTCTTAAAGATTTAAAGTATAATTTTTTTAATTTAAAACTTTAACTTTAAAATTAAAAACAAAAAATTAAAACTAAAAATTAAACTTAGGACTAAAAATTAAAAAATTAAAAACTTAAAAATTACAAATCAAATTTTGAAAATAAAAAATCTCAAAACAAAAAATTAAGATTCAAAAATCAGAAGTAAAATATTCTAAACCAAAAATTAAACATTAAAAATTTATAATTTATAATTTAATATTTAATATTCAAAATTTAAAATTTAAAATTTAAAATTTAAAATTTTTTTTCTTAAATTTTTTAAAAGTTGATATATCGAAACAATTTTGATACAAGTGATAAGTTCTGATCTCAATTGGGTCAATCGGTTTGTTTCCGGTTCGGATCTCTTTTGTATATTTGTTATAATCAGTTCGGGTCAGTTTAGTTTGAGTTAGTTCGGTTTTGGGTTAAATTTAGTTTGATTTTTCTCCAGTTTTGGTTTAGGTTTATACTGGTTAGGGTTTTATATCAATTTGGGTTTATACCAGTTTTACATGAGATCTCTTGGTATTAGAGTTTCTAATGTTAGCCTTGTGAGTAGCCTCTCCTCCCTATGTGTAAAGGGAGTATACAAGTGTGAGCAGTAATGAGCCAGTGTATCCATTAATGTGAATTACGATGTCACTATAAATTATATAAACTCTCTATAAAAATAGACAACAATCTTAGGGGCTGTTTGTTTCAGCCTCTTAATGGTTCAGATGTCTGAATGGTTCAGCACTTAATGGTTCAGACTGTTTGTTTCGTGAGCAGATGTTTGAATGGTTGAGACATTTGCCTCTGAATGGTTAAGTAGTATACAGAGTCTGAATGGTTAAGACCTCTTATCTGAATTGATCGGACATTTGCCTCTGAATAGTTAAGCAATATACTAGCTCTTAATGGTTCAGACCTCTTACTGGTTCAGCACTTAATGATTCAGACTTCTTACTGATTCAACACTTACCTATTCAGAAGTTGCCAAACAGCCCCTTAGTCTAAGTGATAAAATACGGAGTAAAAGATTTGTACATTAAACCAGTTGTACATATAGTTCAAATATTTGTTTTCTTAAAAAAACATCATCCATTGAGCTATTAGGTTTGATAGGATTTAAGTTTAATTTGTTTTGAACTTGATCAATATTGGGTCTAATTGGTTTTGGGTATAATTGTTTCGGACCTAAATGGTTTCGGGTTTAATTGATTCCGGTCTAACTGGTTCGGGTTCAATCGAATTTGGATTTGAATTGGGTCTGAACACCTTTGGTTCGGTTTTGGTTCAATTCGACAATTTCGGGTGTTCGGGTCTAATTCGATTACAGGGTATTTAGTTTTCAGGTCATTTCGGATTCGGTTTCGAGTTATTCGGTTTGGATTATTGGGTCCATGTCTGTTTTTTCATATCTAGCTTCGAAGTTAGAAGATTTAATTTTTTTATCAGATAGTACTTATTTCCCAATATATTTATGCAGTTTGGTTTTTTACAATGACACAAAAGAATTGATCATTATTTAAATAAAGCTTACATTAAATATTAGTAAAAATTGATTTAATTATATTTATCTTGTAATATATTTTCAAGGAATTACTCCTTTATTTCAATAAGTTACACGTTCAATATTTACATGATTAGATTTTATTTAATTTCATACCTATTTTCTCACTCATTTAATAAACTAATATAGTTATGTCGCTTTTTGTTTTGCAAAATATTTGATGTAGTTTTTAAATATTACGGAGTAAAATATACTTTAATATTTTAATTACACTTCGGTTTTCATATAAAATGGATTAGAAATAAATTTGGTCAAATAATGTAATCTAAAATAAACAACTAATTTGATATTTACATGATTAGATTTTATTTAATTTCATACCTATTTTCTCACTCATTTAATAAAATAATATAGTTATGTCATTTTTTATCTTACAAAATATTTGATGTAGTTTTTAAATATAACGGAGTAAAATATACTTTAATATTTTAATTACACTTCGTTTTTCATATAAAACGGATTAGAAATAAATTTGGTCAAATATTGTAATCTAAAATAAACAATTAATTTGGAGTACGTTAATACTCCGTAATATCATAATCAAGTTCGTCCACAGATTTGCATGACTAGCTCCGTTTAAAAAAAACAATTAATCATATGATTTGCATACATGTCAAGGAGATATAATCAGATTATATAACTTGATATATTATTAAATTAAATTTTATCCCCCCTGACATGGATGCAAATCAATAGACAATTGAATTGAATTTTGTAAGTCAAGGAAAACAAGATTCCCAACTCTCCAGCGATACAACATATGCAAGCCCATCATTAAGAAGAAAGAACATACTCCCTCTGTTCTCAAAAACACTTCCTCTCTCATTTTTTTCACTTCCAACAAAACACTTCCCCTTTCTATTAAAAAACCACTTTTACCCTTACTTTTTCATACCCTAACTATCACATCATACTTTTTCTCTAATAATACATCCATCACATCTTACTTTTACCCATCACATCAGGGGCAAAATTGGAAGTCAACTATAATTTTACACTTCCTTAATTTGCCTTATTTTCAAAGTGGGAAGGGTTTTCCCAAACGGAGGGAGTATATAACTATAATTACGGTGTGGGAAAATATGACTTTTCCTTGTAACGTTCTGAAAAACAGCATTTCTGTTATTCTCTGTACTCATTCATACCACAATATAGCACTCTTCGAACAATGTGCTAAACTTTATTTTTTTAAAATTATTTTAATTAAAAATCGATATAGAAATAAAAAAATACATCGTCCAAAAGGACAAAAAAAGTTCTACAAAATAAGAGATGACAAGAATATTTTATTTTATTAAATGATTAATGAAAACATACAAACAAAAGTTACCGAGAGATCGTAATAGTAACTTGCAGGCGAGACTTCTTTAATCTCTAGAAGTGAACGAAACTCATTGCATACCGGTTTGTCAAGGAAGCAATTCAACCAAAAGTTTAAGTTTGTGATTGTAGGCTTACAAATAGTTTTATACTCTAACAAGTCCCCTACCTCAGGCAAAATTTCTTTTTTCTCACTTTTATAAAATAAAAATATAAAGGAGAATATATCTTATAGTTAATTACTACTCTTAAAAATATGTAGTGCTTCATATAATGTTTCCTAAAAGCAGTATGTGCATGCATAGCTCAGTTGATTTGGGGGGAGAATGTCATGCCTAAATTAAAGGTCTTATTATGACCAAATTCCGGCAACGGTAGTGTGGAAATCATATTCTTTGTATTAATTCCTTGTGCACAAAGCCTCTCTAAAGACCAAACTAAGATTATACCATAACTTTACCCTCCTCACTATTTTGTCAGCCCAAGGATAAGAGGGCACCCGAGATGGGCGTTCCACATTCATTTCTTTTTCCTAAAAAAGTGAAGTATCAAATGGAGAGATAAAATTAGGATAGTTGGATTGTATAAGAGTAGCTTTTGTTCTTTACAATGTCTAGTTCATTTTTCTTATCTTTCTTCTCCTACTTTATGTTTCTTTCTGTGTGCTCTATGCTTCTGTGCTACTCGAGCTCAAGGTCTCTTGGAAGAAAGCTAATAGTGGATCTTAGTATTCAAAAAAGAGAATGTGTAGTCTTTATATAAATAACATGTATGAAATCATGACACAATTTGATTATTATGTCAAGAAACTCATACAAATCTTAAATATAAATAAAAAATGTATCCCCTACAAAAAATTATGTCTTGATAAAAAAATAAATTCTTAATGTTTATGTAGACATTCTTTAAATTATTAAATTTATTAATTTGTTTATGTGAGAAAGCTCATAGTGGATCTTAGATCAATGATTGAAGCACTCACATAGAATTATGTCAGATCAAAACTCAACCATGAGAAATTAAAACTCAACCATGAGAAATTAAGTACTTTGTTCGTCTGTGAGCCTTCAAAAAGTACTTTGTTAGTCTAGTAATGTTCTTCCTATATTGGCTTGGCACAATTATTTAAGAGTAGGAAAAGAATTCAAGCTACTAATAATGCCCTTACTTTAAAACTTTTAGATCTCCTTTTCTTATTTAAAAAGCAACAACAA